AAACATAGGCATGGGAAAGTGGTAACAATAAGGTGGGAAAAGCATGAAGAAACAAAGGGCATGTGAAATCAAGAACAAGGGGTGAGAAAATCTTTAACAATAGCATGGGAAAAGCATAAACAATAAGGTGGGAACAATCCTTGGCCAATCATGGAACGCTCTCAGCCCTTCTAGAGCATTCTACACAGTTCCTCTCCCAGTACTTGCCCTCATCCTTTCTCCCATTAACAGAAGGTGCTTGGCACGCTCGAAGGATATGTCGTATAAATCTTCATTTCCTACCCCCAACCAGTTGTTGAAGTCCACATCTACCAGACCTTCCAAGGCCGACCTGTATGTACAGGTCTCTTCAGCTTGATGCTGGTAGTAGTGGTACATTTCCAGCCTGCTGGATTCCCACTGACAAAAGGCCGCATCTAGATGGACAAGAACAAAGTACCTTGACAGACAGGCCATTGGAAATCCAAGCCATTGACATAGACCAACATGATCAAATGGTTAAGGCAACTGAGATTGACTCTGTGGTACGCGATGCTCTGCAAGCCTTAAAGACAGGATCACCCCTTCCCCTCCGATCCTCACTCAATGATTGGAAACTCGAAGAAGGGCTTGTGAAATTCAAAGGACGCATCTATGTACCAGCCAATCAAGATCTACGCAGAGAAATCGTGTCTCAGTACCATGACACTCTTGCCGCTGGACACCCAGGACGCTTCAAGACTCTGGAATTGGTTCGAAGAGACTATTGGTGGCCAGGAATGTTCATCTTTACCCGCAATTATGTTGATGGTTGTGCTACCTGTCAACAAAACAAAGTGAACACTCACCCTTCGGCACCCGCATTGAACCCCATCCCTGCCCCAACACAAACACACCCATTTTCCGTCACCTCGACCAACTTCATAACTGATCTTCCACCATCCAAGGGTTTTGACTCAATCATGGTCATGGTAGACCACGCGCTAATGAAGGGGGTAATTTTGGTGCCGTGTCACAAGACGATCGATGCAGAGAAGACTGCTCAAATTTTCCATGAGAATGTCTACAGACGATTCAGATTACCTGACACCATCATATCCGATAGAGGACCTCAATTTGCATCAAGGGTATTCCAAGAAACATGCAAGCTGCTAGGCATCAAATCCAAGCTCAGCACCGCTTATCACCCTCAAACCAATGGCGAAACTGAGAGGGTCAACCAAGAACTGGAAACCTATCTGCGGATATTCTGTGCCAACAATCCCAACGGATGGGCTGAAGTACTTTGTGATGCGAAATTTGCCCACAATCAGCGATCCCATTCAGCCAGGAACAAATCGCCTTTCTACCTCATGATGGGTTATCACCCGCGAGCAATACCCGCAGTCACAATCAATACGGAGCTACCATCAGTAGAGGAAAGGCTTAAACGATTACAAGGCACAAGGGAAGAAGCGATTGCCATGCACGAATTGGCACGGCAAAAGATGATCAATAGAAGCCGACAAGGGTTCACCCCATTTGAAGTTGGAGAGAAGGTTTGGCTAGAAGGCAAGAACCTACGGATCAATTACCCGTCCAGGAAGATCGCCCCAAAACGCGAAGGACCATTCAAGATCAAGGAAGTTCTAGGCCCACTCTCATACCGTCTAGACTTACCCAAATCCTGGAAAATTCACCCTGTGTTTCATCCCTCGCTTCTTTCACGTTATCGAGAGAACTCCACTCACGGGCCGAACTATCTCCGGCCTCCACCTGATGATATCGAAGGCGAAGAAGAGTATGAAGTTGAGGCCATCTTAGCCCATCGTGGGAGCACTTCACGCCGCAAGTACCTTGTCAAATGGAAAGGGTACCCATCGGCCGAAAATTCATGGGAACCCGAGCATGTGCTTGAGAACGCCAAGAGCCTACTTCAAGAATATAAAGGCCGGAACCATCTCTAGCAAGACTCACCAACAACTCATACCATGTCTCGCTCACGGAACAATTTGTGCACCTTCACCTCTTCTCAACATCCTCCTCGCAATTGCCCCTATGATCGGGACCCCCACTTTATCAGTATCATCCACCAAACCTTGACGGAACACTACCACAAACCATCCCTTCGACGAGAACTAGGACGAGATGCACTGGGGGCAGGTGTTGCCAGGGAGATATTGGAACTAGAGGACGATCTTCAAACAATCTCCAAGTTGTGCGACCTGAATGCACAAATACAAGATCTACTCCAGTCCACTTACGACACTGTGGAGTGTACCACATTCCGACTCACTCATATCCTCCTGCATCAAGGACTACTCATTCCCCTTCGCGACTTCCTACCTGTCGACTATCAGAATCCCCCATCCAACCAGGAGACCACCCCAGCGACTTCCCATTCGACCTCTCGCCATCCAATCCCTGATCCGATTATCCATCCAACTGGATCCCGAGAAAACCCCATTGACGTCGACGGTCCAGCACTGCCTACCAACATGACAGGAAGATATGGCAATATCTGCTGGGCATGTCAGCAGCCTGGTCATTTCCAATCTCATTGCCGACTCTTCCACTGCCACATCTGTGGACACACTCAACCAGGGCACTATCCATCTGCCTGTCCTCAATGAACTGTCTGGGACAATGCCATCCAAGAAGCCACTGAAGAGCAGGACTACGATGATGGCATTCTTGTGGACCTGGATGGATCAGTAACCGGTCATGACTAGGAAGTTTGGGTAAACTTCGACCATAGGAAGGGGGTAATGTTATGATTTTCCCATGCTTATCGCATTCTATTTCCATTCCGAGCATTGCTATTGGACAGTACCTTTCTCTGAGTAGACCTTTCCATGGACGCTATCTTCTTCTCACACGTTATCTCCCTTGACTCACCTTCTACCAATGGGCGACCTTGTATTTCTCACTTCTCTGAGTTACGTTCTCACAGGATAGCTTATGCATCCTTTCTTATTGTTCTCTTCTTTGGGTATTAACCCCTATACCAGTTACTATATATACTGTAGGAAAACCCATGTATTCCTTAGTTCAATCTCCTGTTGAATACAGTGATTACCTGGACTCTTGACTTGACTGTTGGCATTGGCCCGGCCAGACCTACCTTTCAGTAAGCTTACTGAGGTAGTGACGACATAACTGTTGGCACGTGGCCCAGCTAACTCAAGATGACCAGTTAGGACATCACTTCCTAACACCTGTACATTTTCACTCTTTTCAAAATATTGTATTTTATTGGTTTAAAGCAGTGGTTTGCATGAGTTTAATCAACTTGCTGCACTCGCTCTGCGTGTACCAATGGTGCAGCTGCTCCGCGCATATAAACCTGCTTGACACCACATCCATGGAGCAGTACATCTCGTATTGCTCCATGCGTACAATATGGTGTATCCCACGCAGACCACCCAGTGCATCCTTTGCCCTTCTTCTCACATCAGTGGAATGTGGATGGGGGGACAACATATAAACTGGGCATTGGGCTGCTGAGGCCCTCACCAGTTTCTGCCACTGTCCTCCCAGGTAAGCGTTGTCACTATGCTTCCGTCAGCGCTGTCAGGCTGACCAGTTTCTGCTGCTGTCCTCCCAGGAGGAGTACAGATTTCAAGCTCCCACCCTTCTGCCACCCAATGTGTATCAAAACTGTTTGTACCAGTGCTGTGGTCACCATGTATTGTAATACGGCCCGAGATGCCTCGAATACATTGCGCAAGCTGCTCCGATGCTGGGAGCAGTCATGTACTGGTAATCACTCGCTCTGCTAGCGCCTCCCGTGGGGCAGAAGAGATGCTGGGGATAGCTATTTCCTGTCACTCAAGTGTTTGAAAATAGTATATTTGATCAGCAAATAAAGAAATATGAGAATATTAGGTATTACCTCATGCGGGAAGCTGGTGCCATAGGAAAGACTTATGCAGACCATTTTAAGGCTAGAAAATAGGTTGTATTTCGATGCTTCATAAATATAACCCACTCCATATGCCTTTTCACCAACATTTTTGCACCTCATAAATGAAGCAACTCCCGCAGTGTAGCAAATTCACATATACAGGGTGGGCAACAGTGATCATAAATGTGTCCAGTGAATCCTGCCACACACAGTACTTGAACTTTTATGATGGTGTATGTACCTCAGACCAAAAATCATCCCTTGTCCTCAAATTAGGGCACACAGCCAAATATGAACTCAATCCACACCATACGTAAAGCTACAAAGAATACATATACCAACTCTGGAAGAGTAGTCCAGGAGCAGCATCCAAAAGATAGCCAAACGAGACAACCAGGAGCATCAGTGTGAAGTTGAAAATACCAGCTTATCGCGTAACACCCGGTAGCGGTTGAGATAGTGCAGGCATTCGTTGATTTTCTCCCTAACCTTCTCAGTCGTGACAGAACAGGCAAGGTTTGCCTCTCGCAAAACATGGGCAACACTCTCCACTTGCTGTGGGGTGAGGTCGTACAGCTGGAAGCCGCGCAACAGGTCATCGACGACACCCTGAGGCGGATAGTGCGACGCTGGTCGGAAAGGGCGCCCGAGAACGAAAACAATGCCAAACTCGATGGCTTCCAATGCAACGCCCCGCTCAAGTTCTTCATTGATTTCGTGGAGGCGATCAAGCAGTAGACGCTGCGTCGCCTCGTCTTTGAGATAGATGGCCTTACTGGGAATGAGTACGTCAATGACTTCTTGTGGAGGGAGACCTTCCTGGGGATATGGCGATCTCCCAATGTCGACGAGATCTACGGGGCCTGTGAAGACAGACACGAAGAACAGGCCGTTAAATGACGTACCGCCCCATATCTGGAAGTCATAGCAGTAGCAGTAGATATCGTTACAGTCCACCTCTCTGTTGTGTGGGACTGACGGAAGCTTGCGTATCTCCATCGTGCATCCGCCTTTGTGTGGGGACACCCTGTCGAAGTCGATGATGCGGGGTTTCCCATCACGGAGCACGACGTTGCGTTCTCGGAGATCTTGATGTACTACGCCACATCGATGAATTTCCTGAAGATGTCGAAGGATAGTTATCCTGACGCGCTGATTATGGGTCATGCTGTGGCAGAGTACTGTTCGGCAGACGAACCTCGTGACCATAGGTAAGAACGGGAATATGATATCTGGAGGATCACCGCAGTCCTCCAGAATCAGGCAGCCTAACGGGAAAGTGTCGTGCACCGCCTCAAAAAATCCATAGCAGATGGGGATCACAGTTCCTTGAAGGCGGGAGAGCTGCGTCTGATACAGGCTTGCCTCCCTCCGAAGGTCCTCAAGAGCCTGGAAAGAGTGGGCAAATTTGAGAACCAGCGGCGTCCTAGTGCCTTGGGTCTGCCCGCGGTAAACCGTCGTACGCGAGTTATGGTGAATTTCCTCAGTGGTGTCTATGTCGATAACGGCTGTGTCGGTGAATTGCCGACCTGTCATCTGAAGCTGCTCTGGTCTCCAGTATTCATCTTCATTGAAAGTAATTTGAAGTATGGACATGGACAACGACGCGAGCGTGAAAACTATGGACAACGCTCGTGGTGTAGTCCGTAAGGCGTCGTATCAATGTTGGCTTTGTGTGGACGAGTTCGAAGTGGACGCATCATAGTCACGTGATAACAAGGGCCCATGCCTAAGTTAGCAAGTCCAAACGTCGTCATGTATGTTAAGAGTCACCGGAAGACCGCCGACAATAGCGTTCGACTCAGATGCATTAGTCGTGCAGAAGCTGAAAGGTAGATCATGTCTCATGGCCGAGATGATACAGATACAGATGAGGAGTACGTCCACACTGGCATATGTACCGTAACAAACGAAAAGAGGGGTGGAAACGAGGGGCATGAAATCACCGAGCAAGCACTTCCTTCAGAGAGCGTGCGCGGGACACGTCGAGGCTCTCAAAGACAATATCATCACGCGTCCTGACTCCCGTGGCGATGCCCCCAGGCGGGCGTATGGCAAGCAGCTGATGCACGCCCTGGACTTGGTGATGACCATAGTGGATGTCGACTTCTACATACCTGAGCGATGACAGACCCATGCCGACAGCGTAGCGAATGCTTGTCATCACGCTGTGCAGGAGGTCATCGTTGGTGTGGTATGTAGGGCTAGGGAATCGAAGAGACATGTATGTGATTTGCGTGCCCCGCAGCGCGATACACAGCCCTGCCTGCGTGATGGTACCATTCAGCGTCACCCACTGTGATGGATAATCACAGGAAAACGACTCACAAGCGCCCCATTCAGCTCAGCAGGGTTTCCGGAGTTCCCAAAGTCTAAGGCCATGTACTCAAGCTCGGGCGCAGCTGCCCAAAGTGCTGGTTCACACAGTGGCGCAAAGCGGTGGTCTTGGAGGGACAGTGCGATGTACCTCGGGCGCGCAGCCCGGAGAGCCGGAGCAAACGCCCATTCCTCCCACTGAGAGAACTCTTCGCACGGGAAAAGACGAGATACTCGACAGCCGCCGCCGAGAGCCAGGAGATACCCCAAGTGTCCCGTATATGAGCTGAGGGCAGTCCACGCACCGGCGTCCGTGCCTTGTTGGGGGCGATAGCCATCGATCCTCATACGCGGGGACGGCATGCTCAGGTGTTGCAAGTTCGGGAACGCTGCCTGCAGATCTCGGGCATCAAGTGCCATGGGGAACCCCGGGAGCCTGAGCACCGACAAGCGCTGCCATTGGACACGCGGAGGGAAACACAAGTGCTGGATGGCCATCTCCATATTGATTACTTCCAGCAACTCCAGCGTATCCTTGCAGCACTCCAGGAGGAACATGATATTCGTTGTTTCCCTCCTCTCTACCAGGCGTAGGGTCAGACTTCGGAGCGGTGCGAAACCGTCCGGGGCTGCGAAGGTGTTCCGGAGGCTCAAGAGGAGTACCTCGCCAGATAGGTGCAGGTCGGCCACACGACGAAGGCTGAG